TTTACTTTCCCCCGACCCCTGCTACACTGAGCAGCCTTCCACATGTTATGTGGCTATCATTCACACAGCCACTCAGGCCATGAATGTGGGGTTCACTCTTGATTCTTATTTTTATTCCAATACCAGAAGTGAAGCCATCAGTACATTATGCTTTTCTACCTCTAAGATATGTGTATGTAAATATATATACACGTGTGTATTATATGCATTAGACACTTATATGTTTCTACTCACTTCATTATACCTCCACTATCACTACACTCTCTAAGCCAGTGGATCTCAAAGTGCCACCAGCATTACACAGAGACTCTTAGGCAAATGCTTCAGCCTCCTCCCACTCTGAGACCTTCTGAATTTCGAGGCTACTTTTGGACAACAGGTTTGAACAATGGAAACTTGATCAAGGTAAAAGGGTCCACAGAGACCTCCTGGCTGAATATAGACAGGACCATGAGGCAACCTACCACAAAATATCCAGAGGCCCTAAATGACCAATGGGCTATTTATAACCAAGCACAGTTACCAAAGGAGGGAAATTCCATACTTCTCCATACCTCCCCACCTTCTCTCTTTAAAAACAGCCCCATCAACTGTCTCCTTGGAGAATCTCTCCTTTGCTCTCCCTCCCACTGCTCCCTGGTGGTGTATCCAATAAAATTCGAACTCCTTAGTTGTGCCTTTGGTGAATCCTTTCACCATCCATGCCACCTGCCTCAACTCGATCCCTACTCCACATTTTGGGGTCCCCACCCAATCAAGACAGACACCACATGAATCAGAAACTGTGGGCGTGGGCACGAGCAAGGTACGTTTTCACAAATACTCCAGATGATCTTGCTATATGCTAAAGTTTGAGAAGCCCTGCGCTAACCATCCTTTTTTAGCCAGACAGCTCAAATCAACTCTCAGGTGGTCTTCCTCTCCCACTCTTACCTCTTCCAATTCATTACCTTCCTAGCAGACAAAGTAATTTTTTATTCCTAAATTTGATCCAGTCATTCCCTTGCTTAATACTTCTTAATGGCTTTAAAATGCACTTGGAATAAAATTTTAAAAATGTTTTAGCATAGCCTGCAAGTGACTTTATGCTGTGTGTCTTAGCAATGGCTCTAACCTCTCTTACCACTCCTCCTCCTGTCCCTTAGTCATGCCATTGCAATGTCAGCCTCCTGATCTGCTTGGTAGATCACTCATACTCCTCACATGGCTAGCTTCTCATCTGGGAAGTCTTTCTCCACTTCCATTATTCTCCCTGCTCCATGCCTCTTCTCACAACTTTGGGATCTTCTCTGTTTCCTTTTGTGTCACGTACCACCATTCCAGATCATCAATTCTGTGAGAACAGGGACGACATGTGTTTTCTTCCCCATCGTGCACCCACTGCCTCTTGAAATGTTTACCATGTCATAGATGCATTAAAAACAAACAAAAAATGCATTAAATTAAAAAAATAGGGTGCCTGGGTGGCTCAGTTGGTTAAGTGTCCAACTTTGGCTCAGGTCATGATCTCACAGTTCCTGAGTTCGAGCCCCACATTGAGCTCTGTGCTGACAGCTCAGAGCATGGACCCTGTTTCACATTCTGTGTCTCCCTCTCTGTCTGCCCCTCCCCTGCTCACACTGTCTCTGTTTCTGTCTCTCTCTCCCCAAAAAAATAAACATTAAAAATTTTTTTAAACAAAAAATGAAAACCTGTTAAATGGCTAATCAAAAACAACTCTTATGAAGGATAAAATACAAACCAAATAAAGAAAAATAAGATTGGTATTGATGTTGGTTCTTAAAAATTGTGGGCTTAAAGGGCACCTGTGTGGCTCAGGTGATTAAACGTCTGACTTTGACTCAGTTCATGATCTTGCCATTCATGAGTTCAAGCTCCATGTTGGGCTCTGTGCTGACAGTGTGGAGCCTGCTTCAGATTCTGTCTCCCTCTCTCTCTGCCCCTCCCCCACTCACTCTGTCTCTCTCTCAAAAATAAATAAAAATTTAAAAAAATTAAAAATTGTGGGCCTACCAATTCCCAGGTAAGGGCGCCTGGGTGGCTCAGTCAGTTAAGTGTGCAACTCTTGATTTTGGCTCAGGTCATGATCCCAGGGTCATGGGCTTGAGCCCTGCATCAGGCTCCATGAAGCCTGCTTGGGATTCTCTCTCTCTCTGTCTCTCTCTCTTTCCCTGTGCCCCCCTTCCCTGCTCATGCTCTCTCTCTCTGAAAAAAAAAAAAAAAAAAGGAATTCCCAGGTAATATTTGAAGTTGGTGAAGCATGGTTGGGATTCTTGTGTGCATGGACAAAATGAACAAATTATACATGCCAGGAATTTAACATTGGTGCAGGGGGTTATGCTAGCAAAGATTAATGTACCTATACAATCTTGTGGGTTTTATAATAAGCCTCACTTCACATGTGTACCATAGACCTTGATTCCCTATATTTAGTTCTGGCTGATCCATCTTTGTATGCCATAGGCAACACCCAATCAAAACACACTTTGGGTATGTCAGCCAGATTATGCTACTTTGATTTGCTTTTCATTATTACCCCTTGAGTCTACCTGGTGAATTTGGTTTGTTTGTTTGTTTGTTTTGCTTTCATTTTCTATTTTTGCTCAAAATTTAGTACACTTTAAGTTAAGGATAATTTTAGCTTTTCCTTTGCTTCTGGTACTCAGCACACATCTTAGCCATGGCTCACACTTGCGGTCTGGCTCCATCACAGTCTTCTGGACTCAATCATTGTGTGAGCTCACTTGTATGGAAGATCTCAGGAGAGGAAGAACTAGACAGGGACGAGCAGAGCTAGGCCGGCACCGTACAAATGAGGTAACTGATCTGTGGTGGCCGCATCAGCCTCCAGTCCTCCCACTTATGAATAATCCTCTCTTCTTATAAACCATGCCCCCAAACTCCCCACTCCCATAACATTAATTCTATATTACACTCTCAAGAAGCCTTACTCTCAGGAATTTCCAAAGTGTCTTCTAAAGGTGTAGAATGATAAATGGTATTAGCTTAATTTTGAGCTTTGTAAGAAGCATTAGAAGGAATTTTCTGGGATAGGGCCTGTGATAGTTCATTTTATCTGCATGAGGTACCCAACTATTTGGTTAAGCAGTATTCTAGGTGTGTATCTGAGGGTGTTTCTGAATGAGATGAACATTTAAAATGGTAGAATGTGTAAAACAGATTGCTCTCTCCAGTGTGAGTATACCTCAACAAATTTGAAAGTGGAAATGCAACATAAAGGCTAAGTAAGAAAGAATCCTCTCTGCCTGTCTTTCCTTTGGGACATGAGTCTTCCCCTGATATCACACTCAGACTGGAATTACACCACTGGCTTTCCTGGGTCTCCAGCTTCTCAATTATACATCTTGGGACTTCTTATCCTTCCTAGCTGAGGGAACCATTGGCTTATAGTCTATCTATCTATCATCTATCCTATTAGTTCCATTTCTCTAAAGCAACTAGAGTAATTCAGGAACCTTCTGGACAAAAGGAGATCATGTGTTCATATACAATATAGCATTTATGAACCTGGGATGTTCTACCCAAGTTGTAAGCCGTGTCCAATGTACCCAGCTGCAAGGCCACTGCAGGAAGGGACCTGCTACAGCATCTCTTGAAGTGTAACCCTATCCAGCCCACCTTAGCACAGTGGCCCCAGAACACTCTTACTTCTCCAGCTTCTGTTGGGATCTAGGTTCCAAGATCCCAAGCACCAAGTTGGGGCCTGGCCTATTTAAGGGAGAGGGGGGAAAGCAGAGGATGTGTGGTATGCTGAGTTCCAGCTATGTAGCCCAGCCAGGATGGAAGTATCCTGGCTCATGTTCTTTGCCGCTGTGAAGACTGGTATATTTATTTACATTAACAATAATTTCAAATGGGGCATTGGAAATATTATTAGAAGAACACCACTGAATGTTTAGTCTGCCATATTAAGAAACTAAAAAATTGTTTTAAATGGCCAGAAATCTGTTAGCTAATATTGAGGCAGGCACATTCCAAACAGAACATCAACAACGTTACTAGAATATAAATGATAATCAGACAAAGTCACTCAATGACTAAGGTGGGACAGGACAAAAACAAGGCCACTCCACAACTGGGTCTGGAACTAGTTAGAAATAAGGATACTCTGCAACCACAAAAATGACATCTCCCTTTTTCAGCTCTCGAAAGTGCCTACTACTTCTTTGTTAGTGACAACTCTTGCTCAGTCTTTATCTTCCCATCCTTGGAACAAACATTACCAAGATGTACAACCATCACCTTATGTCTATTTCCTTAGAGGATCAAAGCCAAAGCCTTTGTTTCTCTAAACTTCCTAAAAATCACCAATCTCAGCCCCAAACATATAATAAATGACATCTGAACTCTTTCATAATTAAGAAGTTTTGCTGACAGGAGCTTCTCTTCATGAAACAAGTTAAATAAATCTAACTGTGTTTGACTACAGACGAGCTCTTGATAGCTCTGGCTGGTGAACTTTGACATAACATTGCACAAGGAAGCAGCTACTTACTCAAGGTCATGTTTGACATAAAGAGGAAGAGGTTATGGAAACTAACAATGCAATTACTCAGAGAATCTCAGTACAAACCAAAGTGACTCACGGAAATGCTTTAAAACATACATCACCAAATGAAGAAGAAAGGAAGGAAAGAAAGAAAGAAAGAAAACCTGACCAAGAGAAGGATCTTTTAACATATTAGCTGGTAACTTGTTGGTTAAACAATCCAAGTCTCAGGCTAAATGAGATCATTCACGTTAAGCCCTGAGTATAATGCCCAGCAGAAATTCAAAACACATTTTTATCTTCATAATCCTCATCATGATCATTCTCTTATTACTATGGATTATCAGTTGCTACAGATGATTATAACAGAATGCATGCTCACTTGTATATGCATGCAAACATACGAGCAAGGAATGTTTGCCTAATTTAGCGTATTTGAAGTCTGCTCTGTCATCACATGAGCAAAGGAAGAGGAACAAGTAGTACTCACATTGAGCTGAAGTTCATCTGTCCACTGTCCAATCAGACGGTAACCAGGGTTGGTGGTGTTTGTTGTCTGGTACTGAAAGATGTCATAACGCCCTGGTGCATCCCCATTCTTGTTAAACATTACTGGGGTGCCTGCACTACCTGAGGGAGGCAAGAAAATAACAGATCTCATAAACAAGATTCCTTCTACCTCTTGGGCCTTGGGTGATGGTCCAGAAACCAACTGATGAGCAAGGTAACTGGTGGAAAACCCCATTATTTAATGGTTCACCCCCAAATGGGCAATAGGCAAGTCAGCACTATGGTCTGCGGATTCTTATTACAGAGGGTGGAAGGTGACCAGCCACCCCCTTTGAAAAGTTATATGTCTCAGTATTTCATAGTATTTTATACAAATCAGTCCCCCTTGAGAAGAAAATTAAGTGCATTATTTTCTAGGGACTATCTTAACTTGTATTATTATTTTAGTTTCCACCTAATGATTGACTGTGGTTAGTAAAGAACCATTTCAAAAATGATTAATAGATTTTTAAAAGAAAATCTAAGAGAATTATAAACAAGCACACAAGGAAAAAAGTTTATTTAAATATGTACTTAGATATTAATTGCACTTAAACATATTTGTTGATTATTTCTAATTTAAATGATGAGTCTAAAATGCTGAGCAATAAACCTGGAAAGTGTTTAATAGATATTATTCTTTTCTCAATATCTCAATGTGGGTCTTACTTTTTTAAAATGTGGGTCTTAGGATGAAACCCATTATTTTGGCAGAATTAGGCACTGAAGTCAATTTAAAAAGACTAATACATCTATTGTGTGTCTGGGTGTGTGTATGTGTGTGTACATCTTTTGGAAATTAGATATTAATGAAAAGCTCCTTAGTATTAACCACATAGAGCAACTGAAAAACCATATATAGAGAAGGAAAGATGGGGGTTCGGCTTACTTTTAGCAACAGTTACAAAGGATTCATCAAAAGTTGGCACAATGAGTGTTCTTTCTCTTACGATCCCTTGGCAATAGGATAAATACCACTGGCCTCAGGGTATATGACTGGTATCTGCTCTGTAAGTTAATACTGGATTGATAATTTTCATAGAAAACAATGGTATATTTCCTGTCTTTTATAAGTAAGTTAAAGATCATTTATAAGCTGCAACAAAATCACTAAGAACAGAAGTTCATCTTGCTAATTTTTCATGGGGAAGGGTAGGGTAACTTCGGGTAATGAGAATGAAGCCCTTTTGAGAACTCTCATTATAAATTTAAGACCCTATGATGGCAAAGCTCTACATTTGGTTAGCAAGGTCATTAGCTTCTGCAGAATTTTGGGCAAGATGATATTTGCATTAATAACACGGATGGAAAAAAAAGGCACCTATACTTAAGGAAGCAGGCATGATGCTGGGTGACCACAAGTGAATGATCACTTAACACAGAACAGAGTTAGAAAATGGGTCCAGAAAGAGAGACAACATACTAAGTCATCAGAAACACACAGAGCTACAATCCTGTGCAGAAAGTTACCTCTAGTGAAAGAGGCAGTTCAATATATACGCAGGATACAGGAACAGTTAAAGAACTCCACACCATCCTACAACCATTGGGCACAGTATTTTATGACATTTTGTTATTAAAAATGAAAAAAAAATGGAGCTTATGATAGGCTTAATAATGGCTCCCCAAGTATTACCATGTCCTAATCCCCAAAACCTGTGAATGTTACCATACATGGTAAGACTTTTTACAGATAATAATGAGGGATCATGAGATGGGCTAAGACTATTTTAGATTACCTGGGTGAGCACAGTGCAATCATAATCATTCCTATACGTAAGAGAGAGCAGGAATCAAATGAGGAAAGAGGAAGGAGTTGTGATCCCAGGAGGGCAGGCAGCCCTCACAAGCTAGAAAAAACAAGGAAACAGATTCTTCCACAGAGCCTGCTGAAGGAACCAGCCCTGCCTTCACCTTAACTAAAGCCCAGTGAGACCTGGGTCAGACTCTCGAATTACAGAACAATAAGATCATAAATGTATGTTTTTTAAGCCACTAAATTTATGGAATTTTTAAAGTAGCAATAGAAAACTAATCAAGAGCTGGAGGACACAGAACACCAAACTTCTTAATTTTACAGGTCACAAAGTATACTTAGGTTGAAATTCTTTGCCCCAGGGTCACTCAGCTAACTAAACTAGAATAGTGCCTAATAACTGGCTTTGGAATCCCCAAGAAGGGGTTTTAATTCCAAGAACCACCTACTATATGTGTGACCTTTATCAAGTTATTCTTTCTGCTTCTGTCTCTGACTGTCCCTAGTGACACCTTTCTCCTAGGGTTAGTGAGGATCAAATGTAATAAAGTATATAAACTGCTTATTACCATGCCTTTTACATAACAAATGCTCAATAGATGGTAATGATATTTTTAACTGTTTTAATTGTTTTCTGTTTTTAAAGAAAGTTCTGCCTGGTTTTATTAAAGAAAAATTTTGTGTGATTTACTTTACACCAATCTGTACTGGCAAGCTTCTAATGATATCAGAATCATCCGGATCAATGATAGCCAGTGTGCACACACGTACTCCCCCCCTGCTGCCCCCAACTCAATATTATTGTCACTGCAGTGATGGACAGCGGTTTTGGCCAACATGGCATAGTACTCTATTTCAGATTTCCTCAAGGCTGGGCAGGTGTTGGTCAAGATGAGCAGTTTTCTTAGCCGCGTCAGATCATTTCCAGTGTCTGCTTGTACACCAGCGTGTACTTTCCCCTTTTCGTAATGAGTTGGAGCCTAGGTTGATCAACTGCACTGACTTTTTCATCTTCTTCATAGCCACCATCTTCCTGCCTTAGGGGCAGAACGGCCTCAATGAAGAGAAGCCACCAAGTTGGCTGGGAGCGAGAAAGGAAACACTTCCATTTTTTTATCATTGTTTTATGTGCTCATATCTCCAGACCAAAACACCTGCCTTCAGATATTCAAGCTGTCTTTTAAGGCAGAAAATCTGTCTCTCCTAACTGGTATCTTATTTTAATTTCTCTATCAGTGATTTTTTTTTTTTCCCAAAGAGTAGACTAGAGCCCATTCTGATGATGTACACTGACGTACGAATAGCATTGCTTTGGTGCTACCAAATTGAGTCAATGGGTGCATTTTGTGTGGCCAAGGGCACCATTTCAATTTATTTCTTCTATGTTTTATCTGAAAGCTATCCCCAGGGCCCACAAAAACACCCAATTTTATCACGAGAGAAAGCTCTTAAGCCTTCTCTGTATGCTAATCAGCATAACTTTTTCAGTAGAGAGAGAAAAAAAACACATACAACATCGATAACAAAAACAGCTTTTTAATACAGGATTTCCACTTTCAGTGAGCTCTAAGCATAAGGAAAAGAAACAAAATCTGGATTCCACATGTTATTAGCAAGAAAATGAAAATCCTATCATTTTACAGGAAGATATTAATATTCATATGCTCACCTTTCTTTTCTTCCACATTGGATGCTAGGATTCATGTTGTGCTTTGTGGTAATTCTACAGCTTCTATTCATTAAATACCAGCACTTGAGCTTTTCATAGTCTTTGAGATGAGAGAGCAGTAATACTGGAGGCCTGGGGCTCCAAAGGGTCTCTAGCTCACCAGCTAAATATTCACCAAAATGAGACACACCGCCTAATCTTTCTCTCTTCTTACAATCTTTGTTAGGAGAAATGATTCTTGTCATGCCCTTTCCGTTCTCATTAAAGTTCATGCTTAAAAAAAAAATTAAGGCAGAAGAGGTGAACACTTTATCTAAGTGATGACTGGTAATAGCATATTGTGTGGCTTTGACCTTTTTGATGGATTCTATAATGCAACTGGGCTTATTATTTCCAGGGTTTTTTCCGCACAGCTCCTTTTTAACAGTATCCCTGAACTTCTTGAAAGAGAATAAAGGGGATTTTGTTCAATGAAGACTATATTTTAAAAAAAGAAAAGATCAAAGAAGTCCAGAGAGGACAAAGAAGTTATCAAAAGAGAAGTGATCCCCTGCAGAAATGTCCACAGGTATCAGGGCCAGAACCCAAGGGCACAATAGTGAAGGAAGCAGGGCCACTTGACAAGCTGGGATATTGAGAGGAAACTGGATGACAGCAAGTATTTGTCTTCCACCTCCTCTATTGAATTAGAGTATCAGAATGAAATTCCTTTCTTCTAGGACAGAGAAGAATTCGGGATCTAGATTTCCCAGATGGCAAAAGAGTACTTTGCATCAAGGTATTTAGGATTTTTCTCTCATTTTACCACTTCATACACAGATTCCAGAAATGCTGCATTGATTTGTGTTTAATTATCTACTGCTGCTCAACAAACCACCCTAAAAATTACTGCTCAAAATAATGATGACCTGTATTTTGAAATCCAAGCAGGGCTCAGCAGGGACATCACCTCTCTGGTCCACTTATGTCAGAGGGGGCAGCTTGAAGCTCACATGCCTGATAATTGATGCTGGCTGTCAGCTGGGACCTCAGCTGGGACTATGGCTGGAGTACCCTCATATGGCCTGTTTGAGTTCTTGGCTTGCTCCCAACATGGTAGCTGTTTCTGTAATACTAATGTGTCAAGAGTACCAGGCAGAGTACTTATGACTCTTATGCTGTAGAAGTTACATAGTGTCACTTCTGCATTAGTCACAGCCTCACTCAGATTTAAGGGGAGGAAAACCAGATCTTGCCTGCCAATGAAGGAAAGCTAACGTCATTTTTCAAAAAAAAGACAGGAGGTGTGTCTTCCTTACAAAAATATACCCCAATCTACTTTGTTCTCTGGAAACTAACAAATCTAGATACAGACACACTTCACATTAAGTACTTCACTATATAGCAATGCTATAAGATTATGTATGTGAGGTAACAAATTTGTTAAATTTACATCTACAATAATACCATCTAGTTGGATGGGCCAACACAGACATAACTAAATCATATTTAGGCTCAAGTCATTGCATTCATTTGGGATGTAGGAAAAAATGGTTGTAAATGATAATGACAAAATTAGCCATCTTTTCTCTTACTGAATAAAAGAAGGTTAAGTACTGGGTGAACCTGTAGTAGTACTTTTAGGGCATTTTTTTATTTCATAAAATGACGCTTTGGTAAATGTGAAATTTAGAGTTATTAAATTGTACTCTACTCGTCTGGAACAAAACTCCCAGGGGTACAAGAAACTTTGTACTAAAGTAACGTAAAAGCACAAAATTAAGCTGATTGAGACCAAGAAAAATAAAAATCCTCCATAAAACACGTAAAAAAGTCTCCATCCTAAGATGTTGGTCAGCAGGAATGATGCAGTAAACCCTTATCAGAAACTTAAAGAATTGTAGTCAAGGGAGCAGGCTGTGGAGTTAGGTGTCCAGGTACCAAAGCGAGTAGCATCATTACTGTGTATATACTTTTGAACATCGTTGTTCTTAATTTCTCTATGAACCACTTTCCTTATCTATAAAAAAAATTAAGGAAAATAACAGAATCTATATAATTTGGTATTAAGTAAGCCAACTCAAGTGAAGTACTTAGCACAGGATCTGGCACACAGTAATCATTTGATAAACAGGAGCACTGTGTCCAGTCAGAAGCTCAGAAACTCTAGCTCATCAGTGGGAAATGTCATCTTGACCAAATCAGTTTACAGACATTACCTGGAAAAAGAGTCAGGGTAAAGTCACCAAGGGCATTTGCAAAATCAATTGTTTTGTAACTAGGGTAAGAATGGCCATGCCATTGTTATACATAAATAAGATGTGGATACTAGGTGTTGTCCTTTCTACCAGGATCTTATTACTGCTAGCCCTCTCAGTGGACAGAACTAGGCAGCACAGGTATGTATACATATATAACATTCACAAATCTATTTATGTATCTACCCATCTGCATGCATATTAAAAGCCAAGAGTTCATTCAGGTATCTCCCATCCAAACACAACAAGGTTCCTTCTAGTTTTCTCTCATTCTTTCTAGTAACTTCTTTCTCTAACAGTAAGAAACATGGCTCTCATTATCTACAATATACTCATTATTCTCTCAATCCTCTCACATACGTAAATTATTTTCTTAATTGTGAACCCACAAGTTTACTAGCTATTGTACAATAATTGTGTACAGTTATTTTTTGCCTTTGGTCTTATAGCATACAGTCAAATACTATCTTCCAAAACTACGTGTGCTCATTTTTGATTCCCCAAACCCCTCGGTGTGGTTACATTGCTCATATATAATATATTTAAATTTATTTATTACTGTCTGTATTGAATTTACACCTACATGATGGCTAATTTTATGTGTCACCTTGACTAGGGATGCCCAGATAGCTGGTAAAACATTATTTCTGGGTGTATCGGTGATGGCATACTTGAAAAAGATCAATATTTGAACTGGTGAACTGAATAAAGCAGGTGGCCCTCCCCAAGGTGGATGGGGGTAGGGTATCAACAAGTCTCTTGAGAGACTGACTAGAGCCCAAAGGCAGAAAAAGGGCCAATTCACTGTCTCTATTTGATCTGCGACAGGTGTGTTCTTCTGCCCTCAGCACTGTTGCTCCTGGTTTTCTGGCTTTTGGACTCAGATCAGGACTTACATCATAAGCCCTCAGATTCTTAAATGTTTACCTTCGACTGAATTACAACACCAACCTCCCTGGTTCTGCAGCTTGAAGACTGAAGATAGAAGGCCTTCCCTGTCTCCGTAACTGTGTGAGCCTATACCTATAAATTAGTCTCTTCTATGTATCTCTACAGATGTCCTATTGGTTCTCTCTTTGGAGTACTCTGACTAATGTGGCCCGCATTCAGGTTTATTTTAATTATTTGTTTACTTTTTGATAAGTGAAGTGTTCACATGTTGTAAAGACTCAAGACTATATTATCAGAGAAGTGGTATTTCTCCCTTATGCCTTCTACCTGATTTGCCCATTTTCCCACCCATCTCTACCTACTTCTCTTAGGTAACCAATTAATTTCTAACAGAGTTTTATACTCTGAGAAATGTGTGTAATGTGGGATGTGGATATAGCAACTTACAATCATTACTTCAATTTACTTAGATCCCTTTCCTTTCCTCTCTCCCCTCCCACTCTTACTAATATTTACCAAAAAAGATAAATCTTAACTCCCAAGTATTTATTTATTTTTTCCTTGATTTGCTTATTTATTGTTCATAAGATTGATTTGAAATCTTATCACCAACCAGGTCTTAACAGTAAATAATTTAACTACATAACTCAGGAAACACAGGATGCCAACATGTAGAATTCCCCAAATCATGGATATTTGGTGACTTACCATTGAAATTAACATTGCGGATATACTTCAACAACTTCTTTCCCCCAGCTTGCTCCATTTCCGGACAGACCCCTCGGTAGTCGGCACAGAGATCCTTGTTCATATGATGAAGGGCATGAGCCATTGCATAGACCGCATCAATCACAAACTGAACTTTACCCTCCTGTTCATAGTTGGAATCTTTCCCAATTCTCTCCTGTCCTGCACATTAGAACAAGAAACATGCACACACAAAGATTGGTGTTGAGTAAAGCATCTAAATTTGCATTCACATCCAACTATGCTCAAAGCAAACAATGTTTTGGAGAATACAATAGTGCAAACAGCATATCCACATTTAGCTACCATATTAAGTTGTTTGGATAGTGTTTGGCATTTGACTTGGTAGTACATTACACTAACCTTTCCAACGTATTAGACAAACCTGTGAAGCACACTCCACAAGATCACAATGGCTTTTGTAATAAGCCAACATACTGTTCAAAATATAGTGGTCCCATAGAATAAAGAGATTGCATGGATTAAAGGCTGGGACGCTATATTCAAAAGTTCAAAGCTTACTCACTCTAAAGAGGTGATGGATACAAGGGAAAATGATATAAAATAAACTAAATTCCACACGTGAACTTCTGTATATCCACTCCACCTTTTGTCTGGCTCAATGGTTGGTATTCCTGACAACTCAGGTGCTCAGGCTAGAAACCATGTCATTTTTTTGTTGTTGTTGTTTCCTTTTTAATTCTCCCACCCACACATATCTAAGAGAAGCCAAGTTCTATCAGCTCTATCTCTGTAACACTGAACATATGCAGCCACACTACCAACACCCCATTTATGCCCTTCTATCTTCCATCAGGATGCAATCAATGCTAGATACCTCCCTTCATCTTATCTGGTCATTACTCCATATCCATGTTTCCGAATAACAGAGCTTATCACCCATCCGCATGCTCAGGGTTCTTCCATGTTCTTCACTGCCTACAAAATAAAGTCCAAATTCTTTCCCCTGACAAATCAGAGTGTTCATCACTTTGCCCCCATCTGCCTAATAGGAAGAAGAACTGGGATTAAGTGCCCTTCACTGTGTTGGAAACTTGGCACACATTATTCTTATTTCATTCTTACTTTGGGAGTTAAACATTATTTATCCTCACTCTACAGATAGAAAAGGTCAGCTTTATAGAGATTAAGTAACTCCCCAAGATCATTTACAGGTAGAATGATTATGATAGCTCAGGTTCGTCCAACCTTAAAGCCCACTACATCTTCTTACTACATCAGCCCCGCACAACCCTTTCCCTGTAATTTTGTTGTTGTTGTTGTTCCAGATAGATATGACGCTCTATTTTTCTGAATACACCCCACCTCTAATGTCAAGTTATATTTTCTTATGCTCTTTACTTTGCCAGAAACATCTTTCCTTCTTGCTTTCACTCGTCACAACTTAATTCCCTCTCTATGATGCAATGCAATGGTTTCCTACACTTAGTCATATTTAAAGATTTTCATCACATATAGTAGCACTATATTTTAATGCTCTACTAGGTTTCTAGATTTTTTCATTTCCTTTTTACCTTATATTGCTATCAGCAAACACAGCATTTAGTATTTAGTAGATTCTAAACAATACTTGTATTAAATTATGCATTCATTAAGTACATGATACCAGGAACTCCCTTTAGACCTCTTGATCCTTTAGAAAGAATAATAATTACCCACAGATTGCATTTCACTTTCACAGCAGAATTTCCTAAATTGTTTTCCATGGCACATTTCTAAGTGGAAAAAAAAAGCAAGACGAATGCTACAACTCCAGTCCTCTCCCCTGAAAAATCAAAGGTTCCTGACAGACATTGCATTACTTATTTTTAGATTTCTTTACTGACTTTTCCAAACCATTTAATGTTATCAGAAAAATTATAATCTACAGGATGAAATTTCACAATTTCCCAAATTTTCTTGAATTTGTATTTTTCCTTTTCAAAGCACATATTAATATCTCATAGGGAAGACACTTCTGTGTTTTATATATATTTCATTTAACTACCAATAACCTCATGCTGCTGCCTGTCATTGGATCTAGGCTTTTCAGCGTGTGTACAGAAATTTTTTTGTAAAGTTTATTTATTTTGAGAGAGAGAAACAGAGAGCGAGCAGGGGAAGGGGCGGAGAGAGAGGAAGAGAGACAGAATCCCAAGCAGGTTCCACACTGTCAGTGCAGTCAGAAGCAGGGCTCAAATCACCAACCATGAGATCAAGTGAGCCAAAATCAGGAGTGAAGACGTTTAACTGACTGAGCCACCCAAGTGCCCCAGGATTTTTGGTTTTTGAGTAAGATAAAATTGATCATAAATCCATAGTGCTACTTCCAATTGAAATTCATGACTACAGGGGTTTTTTTGTTTGTTTGTTTTTGTTTTTTTAATTAACTTTGGCACTCTTATACCTCTACTGCCTCCCTTTTATGAGAAAAATATTGGTTCTTAATAATACCATTCTGGTTATTTATTTGCTTTATTCCATAATATAGATCATGTCAGTATATCTTGTCTAACAGTCTAAAAAGTACAGTATATTAACTGCCTTCTGAAAATAGTTTTTCAATGTTTTGCCTGTTTTGGCGATGGATTCTAAGAGTGATTGCTTTGTTAAAGAGTACATTCATATGTATCTTTTGCTAAATATTGACACATCCCCCTCTAGAGTGGGATTGCACTAATTTGCTCTCCTACCAACAGAGGGTGAGAGTGTTCATTTCCCCAAGCAACTCACCAAAGTATATCGTCAAACTTGATTTTGTCAATCAGACAGTTATGTGAGAAACAACTCCACAGTGCATTTTTATTTGTATCTTTCTTGGTATAGGGTAGGTTGAACATCTTTGCATTAAGAAGCATTGATTTTTTTTCCCTTGTAAACTGTTTGTAATTTAGCCAGCTTTTACAAGAACTTTTCCTTATCTATTTTAAAAGCTTTTTGTTAATTACAAATATTAAATCTTTGAGTTTAAGTTGTAACTCTTATTCCCAGTTGCTCGTTTGTCATTTACTTTAAAAAATTTTTTTTAATGTTTATTTATTCTTGAGAGACAGACAGACACACCATGAGCAGGGGAGGAAGACAGAGAGAGAGAGAGAGAGAGAGAGAGAGAGAGAGAGAGAGAGAGAATCCAAAGCAGGTTCTAGGCTCTGACCTGTCAGAACAGAGCCCAACATGGGGTTAGAACTCACAAACTGTGACATCGTGACCTGAGCCAAAGTCAGATGCTCGACCCACTGAGCCACCCAGGCACCCCTCATTTACTTTTTACACACAATTTCCAAGTGAAATTTCTGTAAACATAGAATTTTTTCTAAACCCATTTCTTTTAACTTCTGGATTTTTAATTTCCACCTTCAGAATAAAGAAGATTCCACCCATGTTTTCTTCTAGTCCTTTTATAATTTTGGTTTCAAAAATTAGGTATTTGATCCATTTGGAATGTATTCTTGTGCACAGGATGAGGAATAAATAGAAATTTTATCTTTTTCCATATAGCTATTGGGTTAAAACATACAAGACTTCATCTTCTGTCACAGATTTGAAGTTTCATTTGTAATTTCACAGATTCATTACATATGGAAATTTAGTAATGAAGTCTATTTCTGGATTTAAAAGATCTGTTTCATTGTTTGGTTTGTCTATTCATGCACCAATGCTAGAGTTCCAATTATGAAGGGTAACATTTTAATAACTGGTAGAGTTAGACCTTCTTCCACATAATTATTCATTTCTTTCAAAATTTCCTGGTTATTTTTGTTTACTTATTCAAATGAACTTTAGTAATTGCTTACATAGCTTAAGAAAAAAAAAACCTTGATGGTAAATTTATTAGGTTTATGCTATATTCATAAATAAACTAGAATAGAAGTCTTTATGAAGGTGAGTCTCACTACCTGTGTCTTTCCTCTTTAACGTCCTTCAACTGTTCAGGATTTCTCAAAACAAAAGTTTTGAGTGTTTCCTGAAAGTTAGCTTAGGTATTTCATTTATTTTTGCTATTATAAATACAGTTTTCCTTGCTATGAATTTCTCATTGGTTTCTGGTTACATATGTAAAAGCAATTCTTGGTTTGTTGTGGTTTTATTAGTTTTCAACATCCTATCATGAAACATTTTAAACACAGTGCAAGGTTGAAAGTACTTTACAGTGAACCCACCAACTAGATTTTTACATTAACATTTTACAATACTTGTTTTACAAGGCAATTCATTTTTTCACATTAGTTTTATAACCTGCTACTTTACAAATTTGTTATTTTTTATAGTACTTAAAAAAGGCCACCGTGAAGGCATTATGACCACTATAAAATATATACTATGGAATAGGTTCAGACTAATAATTCAGGAGATCAGTTTCTATTCTGCATTCATTGAATCATTTATCCCAGAAAGAATACCTGGAAAATAATTGCTACATTTTAAATAATATAATTTGTGGAACACTGTAGGTTTTATCCTTGTCTTAGGGAGTCACCATGTAGGTGAGCTTATTAAAGGCTTTCAGAAGACTTAAGAGACAAGTTTGTCTTTTGGGCTATAATGACTTGAAAAATGTAACCTTATATCAAGAGAATCAGAAATGGCAAGTTCATTAAAAAAACAAGGTTAACTTTATTTTCTCAAGGGTCACAAGCACAACTGTTTGCCAATTTTCTCCCCTCCTTCTTTACTTGAAATCTGGTTGTCTTCAGATATTTGTACCGTGTGTGTGTGTGTGTGTGTGTGTGTGTGTGTGTGTGTGTGAGAGAGAGAGAGAGAGAGAGAGAGAGAGAGAGAGTAAGAAAGAGGGTTAGGGGAGAAAAAGCGAGGAAAAGAGAAATATGATCTGAACCTTCTTCAAGCCTCACTGAGTCAATACTGATTTCTCTAAGCCAATCCAATTTCCTCCGCAAAGGCTGATTTAGAACAGGCATGGGACACAATTCTAGCTAATGAGATGTAAGCAAAGTTTGGTGAAAATTCCTGAGATAGTTTACTTGTTCTTATAAATAGACGTACTCAGTTTTATCAAAATTAAAGCCCAACATATACCTTGCAATTACTCTGGTCATTTTGTGTTCCTCTGGTCATTATACTGCAAATAAAGGACAGCATAAAAATGTGCTATGTATATGAAACTATAAGTAAGTTGTAAGTTAGACAAGCCTGAAATAACCCTA